CAATAACTTGAAGTTTGAACCTGGTGTAGGTCGAGTTTTGAAGGCATTTAGTAAACATTTCACTTCCGCCTTCCTGTTATGTTTATATTACATACGAACGACATGTAGTATTTATACTCAGTAAAGTGATACGGCTAGCTGAGTATGAGCTCTAACAGTCGGGATGGCAAATATTTGGATGAGGGTATTTTTTTCTAAAATGATAATAAAATATTGATTGATTCGATATACTACAAACCATTATAATGTTGGGAATCTAGGGATGAAGAAACAATCGGATTCGTGTGTTTCATTTAACCTCTGAGATTTCATTCTGACTGGAGGTTTTAAATTTAAATTAACTGGAAACATAATACTGGATGAAGTGATTTTGTGACAAATTGTTTTTTTTTTGCGATTCGTCAGATTTGTGGTAACTTTTTTTCTGTATGAATTGATTAATGTGACTATCTAAATTGTTTCTGTTAAAGCCACGTTAAAGTCTGACAAAGATTATGAATACTATAAGTATATTACACTACATGTATAGTCTTATGTATCTCATGAATATTTCAGCAGAACTAAGTGCGTAATTTCAGTCCTTGGTGGAAACTTTTGGATTCAGAAAAAACACCACAAAGTTATCATCTGAATGTTTTATGAAGGTTTAGGTTGGTTTAAAAGGATGGTAAATAGTTATATTGGATAGAGTCAGTCAGTAGACAGTATTTTAGTTTTTCATTGTTTCATTATCTGTATCAGGCAGTAATTGGATGGAATAGAGACCTATTTGATAAAACTGTGACGTATTGCTTGGTCGGCTATTGAAAGAACTGGTATTTCTTTGATTGTCAAGCAGTGAAGGATGAAAGGTTGAAAGACAAACTTGATGGGTAGACTGAGAGAAGACACTTGATATCTAAAAGAGAAAGAAACGATCAAGTTTCATTATTGATATAAAATTTAAAGTCCCAACACTGTCATAAAACAGAAAACCTGTAATTTATCTCTATTTTTATTCTGTTTTTAAACCTACAGGATTATTCATAAACTAATCAGACATTCCGAATGTCAATTGATTAGATACTTTCATTTATTAGCTATTATTTGAAGTCTTGATCATAGAGACAAAGACGGTGGCATTGGGAACTGAGCATTAAAAATGAACAACTACGTGATCTTAATATGAAAAGGAATGTTAAGCCTTACTGTTCGTCTCTTGATTTAAGAAAAAAGAATTGTGTATTAGTGTTTTGTGGTCGGTGTTAAGCTGTTTAGCTGAGATAATTGGTATTCAGGTGGCACAGACACTGAACAACTCTACATACTAAAGTGCTTGTATACTTTATTCTATCGAAATTACCTCACTTATTCATTAAAACAGTATTTGGATCCTGTAAAATGAACAGTCTTGGTTGTTATAGAAATCGACGGTTAAAATGTGTTGGTTGTTATAGAAATCGACAGTTAAAATGTGTTTGTTGTTATAGAAACTGACAGTTAAAATGTGTTGGTTGTTATAGAAACTGACAGTTAAAATGTGTTGGTTGTTATAGAAACTGACAGTTAAAATGTGTTGGTTGTTATAGAAACTGACAGTTAAAATGTGCTGGTTGTTATAGAAATTGACAGTTAAAATGTGTTGGTTGTTATAGAAACTGACAGTTAATATGTGTTGGTTGTTATAGAAACTGACAGTTAAAATGTGTTGGTTGTTATAGAAACTGACAGTTAAAATGTGTTGGTTGTTATAGAAACTGACAGTTAAAATGTGTTGGTTGTTATAGAAACTGACAGTTAAAATGTGCTGGTTGTTATAGAAATTGACAGTTAAAATGTGCTGGTTGTTATAGAAATTGACAGTTAAAATGTGTTGGTTGTTATAGAAACTGACAGTTAAAATGTGTTGGTTGCTATAGAAACTATCAGTTAAAATGTGTTGGTTGTTATAGAAACTGACAGTTAAAATGTGTTGGTTGTTATAGAAACTGAAAGTTAAAATGTGTTGGTTGTTATAGAAACTGACAGTTAAAATGTGTTGGTTGTTATAGAAACTGACAGTTAAAATGTGTTGGTTGTTGTTTTATTTGATTTGGATTTATTGCATTTTACTCACAGGTTGGTCATTATGTTTTTATTTCGGAGATATTATTCACTCGGTGTAACCCTGAAATATTGTCCTTTCTACATTATTCCAGCCGAACCAGCTGCTATCCTAGTAAAATTATTCATGAAAGGGTTCGACGAAGGATCAGCTGGTAGACAGGATCCTCAAGAACCTACCAAGTTTGAAAGACAGGACCATGTCTGTGTGTATTGGGTCTAATTCTCACCCATCTAAAATAAAGAGATTATTATTATTATTATTATTGTTATTGTTATCCATGTAAAATTATTCTTGAATGGAATGATTCGCCATTTGTGGGGGTTGATTTGAGTCTTGAATATGTAAATAATCTTCAGAAATACTAAAACTGCTTGACCACGCACTATTTCTTCAGAAATACCTAAAATTAGGCAGTGTTTCAAGAAAAGAAGAGCCATAT